TTCTCAAGCTTTATGAGAAGTGTCATATATGTCTTTTTAGGTGCACTCAGAGGACAATCGCCTGTTATATCATTTCATAGATTGTCAGCATGATGTAGGCCTTTGTAATAATATTTATTCAATATAGTTATAATGACTTGCGGCTGGAAGGGCATCCGCTGCGTAAAAACTTGCTGAATAAGTTAACGGTTCATTCCGCTGTGGCGACCCCGGATTAATACAGGGACTAAGCCGACAAGAAAATGAATGAATGAGTTATAATGACATTTATACATGATCAAACTAGTGTGGAACTTAAGCAAAACTAATACTAAATGTAAGTCTTACATTTGTTTGTTTTTGTAGTTTGGGCCAAAACAAATGTTTGTTGCATTTTTAATTGTTTAAGTTCATTTGATCGACTATATAAAAATCAGTGGATTTTATCAGTGCATATATTGGGTAAACAAAAATTGCTACCTTTTACTGTAATAAGTCCCCATCCCCAGAAGTGATTAAGGTTAGTACACAGTCATAGCCATATATGCAAAGATGTGTGTGTGTATATTATGGGTGGAGCTGAACCCGAATACGGTATTAGGAAAGGCACGAATAGCGTGTTTTTACGAATACTTATTTTGAACAAATACTTGAAAAATTATTTGTATTTGGGAGCAAGATAAACATTATATCAAAAAGCAGCGTTTCCTCATGAGACCACAGTGCATGCCCGTGTGAGTGAGTGAGAGAGAGAGAGACGCTCAGTCAGAAGTCGGAGGGCGCTTCTCCACAGCAACAGACAGAGAAAGCTCGGCTGAGCGAAAAAATACTTCACTGCATCACTATTTTTGTTAAATAGATTTTTGTACCTTAATTGGGTTCCAGATGCAGTTTATAAACTTGTAGCAGAGTTGAAGCAGAGTTTGATCGGGATATTCCATTACGCTGCATTTTTGACGTTTGCAATTGGGTGCTCTCTGTTTACACAACATTAGCTCTGCTTGCGCGGTAATTTAGACAATAGACTGTTGATAGAGTAACGTTAACGTTCGTTTATAAAGGTTAAAACGATGCTTGTGCAGTTGTGTCGAATAGTATGCACTTATGGGAGTTATATTGTACGTCTAAATTACTGTCTTTTGCAGACAGCAAGATATATGCTATAGGCTAGTAAACCTTAGCATAACTTCCCCTCACTTTTTATTAACTTGAAACTCCTCAAATACATTTGGGCACCCAGAAAAAGAGTGAAAAAGAGTGAGACTGCTGCTGAGCCATTTCTTGGTCCTCCACCAGTCAAAAAAAAAAAAAAAAAAAAAAAAAGCACCTTCAGGTTCTGTGTGGAAGCATTTTACAGTCAGTGGAGCTGCAGATAAAACAAAGTGATACTGTATAATGTGTACAAAAGTGAAATCAGCAGAGGCAGAGATATTAAACATCTGTCAACATCTTCTATGCGTAGTCATTCATTCATTTCTTTTCCCTTTATGCAGTCCCTTTATTAATCTGGGATTGCCACAATGGAATGAACCACCAATTTATCCAGCATATGTTTTACGCAGTGGATGCCCTTCCAGCTGCTACCCAGCACTGGGAAACATCCATACACTCTCTTTCACACACATACAATTGGGACAAATTTAGCTTACCCAATTCACCTGTATTGCATGTGTTTGGACTGTGGTGGAAACCGGAGCACCCGGAGGAAACCCACGCCAACATGGGGAGAACCCAGTCAGGGCTCGAACCAGCAACCTTCTTGCTGTGAGGCGACAGTGCTACTCACTGTGCCACCGCGCAACCTTCCATGTAATGTATTATCACATGCACTAAAAGCATCCTCTCCTGATACTGTCTGTGAACCCCCCACAAGCATCAATCCCCTCAATCAGCACAGCTATGTTCTGCTAAATCCTCCACAAGCACCAAACCATCAACACAGCCACATTCTGCCCCAGCAAGTCAGTTTCAAACATAAAAAATAAAAAATGTAAAAAAACAAAAACAAACTTTGTGTCTGTTTTGTGGCAGGCAGATGATAATAGCAGGCCTGTATCTTTTAGTATTATATAGAATACTTTTGTTCTGCCAGATCTCCCAGGCAGGGTTTTATTTAGATTTATTTAGCTAATTTTAGTTTTTGGAATTCTGTCCATTGGAAAGAAGTTCTTTCAGAAGAAGAACAGTTTTTTTAAATATTATTTGTTTTTATTCTGTCTATTCAGTGTCCTTCAACAAGAGCAGTGGTGGTGGGGTTCATAATATTCACAATGGTATTTTATTAGTTGTTGGTTTAACCATGGATGAGATAATGGCTTCTATGTTATTTTCTTTTCAATGACATTTCTTGTCACATGTTCAAAAACAACAGTCAATATTGCATGTCTATAATTTATATAATGGGTATAATTAAACAATACTTTCACTATAAAGTAAATTAGAAGTATAATAGAAATAATATATATTTTTGCGCCATTTTGAATTTTACTCAAATACAAATACTTTTCCCCCCTCAACAAATACACATACAGATACAAATACCGGCTGTTCCGCACATCCCTAGTGTGTGTATGTGTATATATATATATATATATATATATATATATATATATATATATATATATATATATATATATATATATATATATATATATATATATATGTGTGTGTGTGTGTGTGTATATGTACATACACACACACAGTATTCATAGCGCTTCACTTTTTCCTAATTTTTTATGTTACAGCCTTATTCCAAAATGGATTAAATTAATTTATTTCCTCAAAACACACAATAGCCCATAATGACAATGTGAAAAAATTTATTGTTTAAATTGTTGCAAATTTATTTCAAAATAAAAAACCTAAAATATCATAAATGTGGAGAAAGTAAAGCGCTATGAATATATATATATATATATATATATATATATATATATATATATATATATATATATATATATATATATATATATATAAAAGAAAATACAGTATGTCAAATGATAAGATTTCTGTGTGGAGCACTGGCTGTTGTCAGACTCCTTGTCGGATGTGCGCTATGCACATCAATATAGCAGCATTTGTTTTTTATGATACTGTATAACAATAGGCAACGTGGTGGCGCAGTAGGTAGTGTTGTCGCCTCACAGCAAGAAGGTTGCAGGTTCGAGCCTTGGCTGGGTCTGTTGGCATGAAAGCCGAAAAGAAAATGAATAAATGTATAACAAGAATTAATATTTTTACAGTACTGTGTAGGTTGGGGTGGGGTTAGGCTTTAAAAAATACAATTAATTGGGTAATTTAATAGGTAGCATGAATAATGCTCGATACAACTACTGTTTTTACATTACTGTGACAGTTGGATTTAAGGTTGGGGTAGACGTTAATGAAAAACAACAAATGTGAAATTTAATAAATAATATAAATAATTCTCGTTAACTTTTGGCCGCAACTGTATCTGATCTAGCAAAAACCAAAATACTGGGGTAAAACAAACAGTCATATTTGAAAGACATGGCAAGGGAAATAGACTTTAATGCAGTGCTTCTTGTCCGATCTGAGACCCACCTCATATTTGTATGTCTAACAGGCAATGAAGATCACAGATTTTTAAAGAAATCAGATCTGAAACGTGACGATTTTGAAATTGAAAGACAGTTCACCGGAAGCCCTTGGGCTGCCTGGCTAAAAATTAAATGTCTATGTGCATATAGCCTATCTAGCTAACACAACAGATGTTGCATTAGAATTTGTATGAATAGGATCATCTGTAAAAATATTTGTAATAGTTATATTATTTTTTGTTATTGGTCTTTAGTTTTTAAAGTTACTTATACAAATAAAAACAACTAATTGGAGATTTATATCATCTTGTCCCTTTTTAAGAAATAGTTACTCATTAAAAATTTACTCATGAGTAAAAAGAAGAGTTATTTTTTACTTTTACTTGAGTAGATTTGTAGACATGTAACTTTACTCTTACTTAAGTGAAAAAAAATTGTAAGTAACAGTACTTTTACTCGAATAAAATATTTTATTACTCTTTCCACCTCTGTCTCTTTTGCTCTCTTCTCCAGTTCTGGGTTACAGATGATCTCTTTTCATCTGCTTTTGTTTGCAGTTACAGGAGCTCTCATTTCCTTTTTCCTTTCTATACCACATCATTTACCTTCATGTTTGTCTCAGTATGTTATCGATCATTTGTGTGCATATTATTTTGTTACTCACCCTGTATTTGTTTCCAGGACCACTAGTGATTGAGTGTCTGGTTGTTTTTTCCCCATGGCACTCCCTCAGTGCACACCCGACCGGGTTTGATTTTTGCTTTTTCCAGGACTCACTCCTCAATAAAGACTTGATGTTTTTCTGCATTTGAGTTCACTCTTTTTTTTTTTTTTTTTACTCAAGACACAAATATTTTCTTTCTTATTTGTGTTTAAATTTTTTAAGATTTAGACAGATACAGCTTTTGAGGCTCTTTTGGTCTATGGTGATTTCTTGATTGCAAACATGTGTGGTAGTAATCAGGTCTGAGTGTGGCTAGAGAACTTACAGAGAAATTTACAGCTTTCAAATTTATGTCTCATCAATATGACCAAAATGATCTGGGATCAATCATATAAGAATCTGCTTAAATGTACATGTGTGTAATAAACCCCAGGAGGTTGATATGACAAGATCAATCTAAATATGATCTGCTATGTTTTTACATTTAATGTGCATCAAAATTAAGGTTTGTGTAGCCAATGTTTTACTGCATTTTTACTTCAGCTTTTGATGAGAGTTTTAATGATTTACTAAAACCGGAAATTTTTTATTTCAGACCTAATTAAAGACTATGAGGAGAGTAAAGAGGAGGAACATCGTGTCAAAATTGAGGGCAAAACTCATTTAGAGACTGATGGTATTTTAAAAATGAGAGACAAGAGTTGTGTCACCTGCACTCAGTGTGGAAAGAGTTTGGCAAACAAAAGCAAACTAAAGATTCACATGAGGATCCACACTGGAGAGAAACCATTCACATGCACTCAGTGTGGGAAGAGTTTCTGCCACTTAGCAAACCTTAATCAACACATGATGATCCACACTGGAGAGAAACCATTCACATGCCACCAGTGTGGGAAGAGGTTCAGCAAATCATCTACGCTTTACAGACACATGAGGATCCACACCGGAGAACAACCATTCACATGCACTCAGTGTGGGAAGAGTTTCAACCAACCATCAAACCTTAATCTACACATGAGGATCCACACTGGAGAAAAACCATTCACTTGCACTCAGTGTGGGAAGAATTTCATCCACTCATCACACCTTAATGAACACATGAGGATCCACACCAGAGAAAAACCATTCACATGCACTCAGTGTGGGAAGAGTTTCAGCCAATCAGCATCCCTTAATCGACACATGAGGATCCACACTGGAGAGAGTCCATTCACATGCACTCAGTGTGGGAAGAGTTTCAGCCTATCCTCATACCTAAATAAACACATGAGGATCCACACTGGAGAGAAACCATTCACATGCACTCAGTGTGGGAAAAGTTTCAGGCACTCATCACACCTTAATCAACACATGATGATCCACAATAGAGAGAAACCATTCACATGCACTTGTTGTGGGAAAAGTTTCAGGCACTCATCATCCCTTAATCAACACATGAGGATCCACACTGGAGAGAAACCATTCACATGCACTCAGTGTGGGAAGAGTTTCAGCCTATCATCATACTTTAAAAGACACATGAAGATCCACACTGGTGTGAGAGACTATATGTGCTTGGAGTGTGAGAAGACTTTTATTACAGCTGCAGAATTAAAACGACACCAGAGGATTCACACTGGAGAAAGAGGTTTACTTAGGAACTTTGAAAACACATGAGAGGATTCACACTGGAAAGGAATTGTAGACATGATCAGTGTGTACAGAGTTTCACTTATTCGGGGCAGCTTAATAAACACATGGGATGGTTTTTCGGTAGGACAAAACAACCATTGAAACCTGAAAGATTTTTAGATTTTGCCGATTTTTTTAGACGGCATGTTTATCATAGATATCAGGTATCAGGTCCTGTTACGTAAATGATGTTCATCATTTTGACAGATTTGCCCTCACAATTGTTCTGTAATCTTCTTATAGTGATAAAAAAGCACAATAATTTTAAACAGAAAGTGTCCGTGTTGCACTGTTAATGACAGAAGTAGTCTTTACTTTCACCATTAATTTTGCCATGAAGCGCACCTTTAACGTTAACATTACATTTTCAAAGTTCGCTGATGAGTTGCAGATACCCGTGAGATATTTGGCGTGCTGAAAATCTGGAGCTATCGGCGATTCAAATCATGCCGTGTACAATGAGTTCTGACTGAAAATATTATTCGTGATCACCTACAGCCAATGAGAGAGCAGCATCCACTTATGTGTGTGTGTGTACCTACTGGCCAGCGGGATGTTGGGGGAGAAGTTAAAAGCGATCATTTTTAGTTTATTTCGACCCAAAAAATGGAGGAAAAACTAGTGGAGGTTTGACAGGAGCACCAGTGTCTGTTTGATGTTTCGTATAGAAAGATAAAAAAAGTTGATGAGAAATTGCTAATTCCCTTCAAACCCAGGTGAGCAAATATGTAAATTTTCTACCCCATTAAAAACGTATTTCTCGTTATGTAGTTTAATAACAAAAAATATACGATGTGTTTTCGATTAAGAGACATAGTTTGGAAGTTGTCGGCGATTCTTCCTATTGTAAAGTCATGCAATGTGAAAGCCCATGTCGCCGATCCATCTTGCAGTGTAAACTTGAAACAAAACTGCCCATAACTATGTGGACACCTATTCATTGCACATATTGCTGTCAATTTTACATTGACGTTGAATTTTGTACTGTCTGTAGTTCACACTGTCTGTATTTTGCTCTGTTGTTGTATTTTGCACTGTGTGTATTCTGCACCGTCTGTATTTTGTACTGTCTGGAGCCAGCACCTAAGCCTTTCACTCATCATAGCACACGTGCTGCTGATGATGTGACAATAAAACCGTACTCACACTAGGTACAGTTGCCTCGAAGGTACGCTTGTCCCCCCTCCCGTCTCCCCCGATGGCCCGCGCTCACACCACAATCGGCACGCTTACGTCATCGCTGCTGCGCTGTTCAGTGAGAAGCGCTCTCACTCAGCAGCACAGTGGAGATTCCTCTAGTTGTATCGTTTCAGTCGTTTGATATGTAGTGACATGCAGTCAAATATTTCGCCAAACAGTCCTTAGGGATGCAGGGACACGCAGTCAGATATTTTGCCGAACAGATCCGCCACTTTTGGCGCTCATAAACAATCATAAAGCCCTCGTGCTGCAGGAATGAGGTCTGCTGAAGGTGCGCAGCTGTCATGCAGTGAGGAGTTTGCGTCTTTAATAATCTACAGCAGTTTGCGTTCACTGAACAGTAAGAATGATTAAGAAATTCATATAAAACAGTCCCTTAAAAGTCACATCTCGCTTTCAGTTTCGGGCTTTGGTGCGTTTTACACTCATACTACAAACTACTGATACGTTTGTAGTGTGAGTGCAAAACACGCCAAAAGCCCGAAACTGAAAGCGAGACATGACTTTTAAGGGCCCAAGTGAACCGCGCTCAGGCCCACCTCTTCCAACCGGGCCAGGGCCGGCCAAGTGCACCGTGCCTGAGCCCGATTCAGCGCACTCACACTTCTCAAACAATCTGGGAAACGGGCCTGGGCACGGTACGGATGGCATAGTGCTAGTAGGCCATAAAAGTGATTTGATTTGATTTGAAACAAAGCAGTGACAAAACGCTAGCCCAGATAGTCATGCAGTGTGAAAACATCTGTGACAAGACTACTTTGAAAATCATGCAGTCTAAACTCGGCATTAAAAGCAAATCGTACAGCAAGCAAAACTGACTGTAACAATCTTACTCTCTGTTTCGGAACAAACCAGTTGATCTGCAGGGATGAAAACATTCCTCATACAAGAAAAATAGCTGAAGTAACAGGTATCACCGACGTTCGACATGAATTAAAGCGCATCTTTATGTCCGAGTTTTGATATGAATCATCAATGACTTAGAGGAGAGGGGCACAACAGCGGCCATACCAATTTAAACGGGGGCCTGTGGCCCCACTCCTAGATCCGCTCCTGAATTGTACATACCACCAACCACACAATTCAAAATATCAAATGCACACCAAACCCTTGGTTCCGATTTGGCAAATACCAGTAAGCAAGTGATGTCACATCATTCCCACAATAATAACAACACCAACTTCCCATTACGAAGGTAAAGAATAAAAACAAAATAATAATAACACTCTATACAAAAACCACATCACTCAGTATCACAAAGTAACAAACACACTAGACTAATGATGGTGTCTGATGGTAACATGCACAGGTGGTTTGAGGACTTGTGTAATTCATACAGAGACAGCATACATGAATTGGCCACCGATGATGTGAAATTCGAGGCGCCGATTTCCAATACACGCACACATGGAAATACTGCTTCCGAATTAGGCCAGATGCCACTCAAGCTACAGCAAAGCAGCAGCTAGCAGATTCTGCAAAACAACAACTCCTTACAACTCTATTCTTGTTTTTCCTACATATACTCTAACACGGAAGACTTACCTTTGGAATTAACTATACATTGTACACCATAAAGAGGCCGTGACCAATCAAGTTAATTTCCGGCAGCCACAACTGTCCTTAAGAGAAAAATACACTCATTTAAGCTAAATAATCCATTCCATCTTACGGTTTTCCAACATGCCTTACTCACTGGAGGTCTAGTGGAGAGAGTCCCATCAATAGGTCAAAACAACAATATGCCAACCATATATATATATATATATATATATATATATATATATATATATATATATATATATATATATATATATATATATATATATATATATATGTGTGTGTGTGTGTGTGTGTGTAAAGTAAATGATAACATTTATCAACACCAACTGACCTCCAATAAAATAAAATAAAACATTATGCAGCATTAACCTACCACATATGGCTGCACGCCTCATGGAGCACAGTTGAACTCATCAGTGAACTCAATTATGATGTAGTTTGACCAATAGCTGAGTTATGTTAAACTCTTCGTTGAATGATGTTGAGCAAAAGACACTTTGGCCGGTTTATTCTTATTTACAGTTGTCTTGACCCAGTTTACAGATGCTTTTTATGAACAAAACAAAAATTACATATCTTATAAATAGGAAAACTGTGATAATAGGTGTAAACCAGGTTTTAAAAAATGCATTGACATCTATACGAGGCTTTAAGCATCGCCAAGGGGCATGGCGTCCTCAATACTGATGCGTAAGGTACTTGACCATCCTTCAGATTTTAATGCCTTCGGGGTGTGAATTACAAAAACTTCTGCTTCAAACATGGTTTTGCTTCTCACCCTAAAGAGTTTTACACAATAATTGATGATGTTCCTAAAAACATCATAGTATGGATCAGAGATATTCTTTCACACTATTCTGTAGTTTTCTCTTCTGTTTTTGGCCACTTAATGTTTTAGAAACAAAATGAAATAATAGGTTTTTAAAGAATATTCTTATTCAAAGGCTTTATACTAATCAGCTCAGAAATCATTTTATTTTTAAAGATTTTAATTTATAGGAATTAGAAAAATAAGAACAAGGTACATTTCTTATCTAATTCTCCCCAAAATGAAAGAGCTTCAGTTTAAAGTAACTAATGATGTGTATCCATCAAAATAATTCCTGAGATTAAAATGTGATACTGAGGATAACTCTTGTCAATTGTCAATGTTGTGAGAGTCATATTGAAACCACTAAGCATATATTCTACAATTGCATATACTCATGTACATGACAGAATGTCTCATGTCAATATCCATGTTAAGCCTTTTTGCTATATACAAGTTAAATTGGGTGTAACTAAATAAAATTGTACACAGCATTTCCTGGTTAACAACGTTTTATGCTTTGCAAAATTCTTCATTCATAAATGTAGGTTTTTGTATTACTAGTATTAGCATGTGATCTAACAAATCACTCAAGTTCGCATTACAATAGCGACACTGAATTTCCTATACATGAATTTGTAGGAATGTATGAGTTTTCACATGAACATATCTATAAAGGCAACCTTTAAAGCTTGTCTAGAGAAAAGTTTAATTGTCTTCATTAAGAAAACTTGTTTCTTTCTTCAAATTACTCAATCAAAATAAATGTGTAGCGTGTAAACATTTTTTCCTCTCTAATCTTTCTAATTCTCTTTTCAGAGCCGACCATTTGATTTAGTATTCAATTTGGTAAGTTAATAAACAATTTGCAAGTGTGCAATGTGCAGAAATATGGTATTCGTTCATAGTAAGTTGAAACACATTGTTAGATTTTGCTATACTTGGCTAAACTGTTCTTGGGTGGTTCACCAATATATAGATGACTAATCAATAAAGTAAGTAAGCTGACCAAAGTTATTACGGGTAGAAGACTTTATTAAAGACAATAGAGCAGTTCCTCATCAGTGATGTCAACTCATCGATCTTCAAATAAAAGACTACCCAACTGCTTTTGTTGGGTCACAATTCTTGAGCTCCTGTAGGTCATTTGGTTCACACCTTTTCAGATGCAGATACTTGTTTGCATATGAAACAAGTCATACAATCTATCAACATATAGAGGTCTTTTGCATTATTGCAGCCCGATAGCAACTCTCACAACCTGGTACTGGGCTGT